ACTATCCAGATCCGTATACTATAAAATGCCATAGAGACCTGGACAGTAAACTGCACTTTTCTTGAAGTCAAAGAACTATTAATGGCAACGTTGAGTACGTTTATAATGCAATACAAATGGACAGGAAAAAAAAGAAAGAAAAAAAAAAAGAAAAATATTTTTTAAATCTGCTAACCGAGTCCCTATGATTTAATATTAGTATCTGTTACTTCTCTTGGACAAGTTATTACTTATTTCAATTGTTTATTTCTATTGTCTTTTATTTCTAATACCTACATTTATATTGTTCAATCTTTAATTTACTGTGTGATATTTTATAGACCGTTGTTTGTCTCTTCGTCGTTTTCTTTTGACCGTGGTGTTGTTGTTTTCATCGACATGAAGGCAAATGATGGGTATTGATTGTCTACCTGGTGTAGCCTCACCTTTGTGTAACTATGTCAAATGTTAATCTTCAGTACTTACAGTTATTATGCTCCTCAAAACATTAATTGGCATGACATTTAAGATGATATTAAGCATAAGCAATATAATATCATATTGAATATATCACTTACATATGATGCGTTTAATTTTCTGTGATGTGTCGTGTAATAGCGATCGATCGGATATCCTTGACAATTGAAGAAATTCAATATTTATGGAGGTCTTTATGTAACATAACTATTTCTACCATAATGTGTGTGTTGATAATAATGGCCACGGTCGTGCAAATTATTTGTCTTTCTATAATGTTTTAAATTATTTATACATTGTAACAAGCGCTAGATGACAAAATAGTAAGCCTTCATTTGTGAACATATAAGTTTAAAGATGTCTACAGAGACAATTGTGTTACTTATTCCGAATTCAGAAACACACTGGCTGTTAGTACTTGCACATGTATATTCCTTATTACACAAATATAGAAATAAATAAGAACATGCAAAAGCGGTGATGATTTATAGTGCGACAGTGTGTACGACTTTGATACCAACTATTTTGAAATAGACTATTATTGACAGAAATGACTTCAAAGAGGCTATCCATCTTTTCACAATGTACGTAGCTATTGAATTGAAAAAAAAAATTAATCGCAATTTCGAACGACTGTTTATCTAAAAACCTGGTTAGGTGATCGAATATGGAGACTGGTAGTAAAAGTACACACTTGTTTTGTTTTTAAACTATATTACTTATATTGTCATTAGCAAACACGATTCTACATTCGCATCATAAATAATAGCCATTGTGTCAACGTCCGCGAAACGTAATTAGTGTCGGAATTATGATGTAAAATTTATATAAGAATTGAACACATTTTGTGTACGTCTTTTTATAATTCTATTGCGGTATAAAAGCATTGACCGAAGCAGATTTTTTTTAAGCTCACAAACGATTCATCTTAAAACTGGGCGCACGATCAACGCTTTAAGAACCCTACAGAACTGTTTATAGACGCATTCAATTTTTATAATTATATTTGTATGCAACAAAAATGAAATGTAGACTTATAAGCGTTTCATTTCTTTTTCAATTCATTATTTAACATTGTCAAGGTTATGGTCTGGTATTTTACATGTTCTATACGGAAATCGAAAATAATATTGGAGTACCCCGTAATTATTGTCAGTCAATCAAAACGACAGATTACAATGAAGCATGCATGTAATGAAAATTTTATTTTAGATAAAACGATTAGGAAAAATGTTTTGTTTTAATGAAGGACTACATGTTCATTGAGGTTCTCCATTTCCTTAAGGACGTCAATATTAAATTTACCGAAAAATAGAAATGAATCTCGCTTTAAATCAATTTAATAGGACGGCCGCCGATCTATGCAAATGATATTTCTTTCAGAAAAATTAGTTTCAAAGGGAGATAAATCAGATTTTTCAAGAACATTGTATCCAATATGTTTTACCTTCTTTATGGTGAACTGTATAAAAAAGAGGCAAATTTATTTTTACCATACCATGTACAACTCATTGAGAAATGTCTCCGGCTGCCGTATTAATCTTTTTATCAGTCATTGTTGACATGTATTCGCTAATAATATCAGTGGACTGGTCGTGATAAAAAGAACTATTGTGTCAGTTCGCAATTGATATATGCATGCGCGAATGCACCTCATTAGGATCTATCTTCACTTTCATTCATAACATTGCAAAACAATCGAGTTTTTTGTGAATAAAACACCTTTTTTGAACGATAGTTATCTGCAGTATTATTGAGTTCTCATTTATTAGCTCTAATGTTAATAGATAGTCTGGTGCTGTTCCAAGGTGTCTTCTTTTTCTGTTTTTTGTTTAGAAGGACTTGTTTAACTTGTACAGTCAGTACTAAGTGCTACAACTTATATTTAGACGCAACACATGAATAGTGACCAAAAAGGTATCGCTTACGTATGATAAAAGGTAAAAAAATATACACATTTTTGACATTTGATGTGAGACCATTATATAAAATGAAGTAGATGTCAGTGTAGTTTCATTGTCAATGTATAGATAGCTATCAATCGACCAAAGAACAAATAAAGAAACAAATGAGGATGCAGATCCAGGATTTTTAAATGAGGACTCCCGAGCGCCCTGAAACTAGGAAACGTTTGGTGTGGAACAGGTAAAAGTCCTCATTAACCATAATTGTAGCCTTATAAGGAGTGGCCAGGGTCGCACGACCCCTTCCACTCTGAATCCGCCTCTTAAAATACATGTTACCGCAGTACTTATTTCTGGTCCGGGTTGAAAAATATATTTCATGACTTTGAAAAAACCACGAAAAGCGTAAGTAGAAAACTCAAAGTTGAGTTACATCAATTAAATTTTTTAATGTTTGAAATAATTATTAGGTCGACAAATGACCTTTCATATAACTTACAGTCAGCCTACAGACTCGCGGCCCACCCCTGAACCAAATCTACGTGTCTGCTTGCACAGGACTTTCCTTAAATGAATGAGATCGTATTCAGGATGACACTGATCATATCACGACAAGACCAATGTAGTTTTAAGCAAATTATCCACCCGAAAATGAGCAATTAACAATAACAAATGTGCCGAGTCATATCGTTTCAAACAATGCTAAGAGAAAAATAAGAAATTTGCCTTACCGGTATATTACCATTGAACTTTGCATTGTTAAAGGCATGCTCAAAGTAAAATAAATGAAACGCATGCAGTAATTATTTTTCAATTCTTTGTGCAAGAGAACGCCAGGTTTGCTGCACTCTGACAAAATTTCAAATGATGTAGTGTAACTTATGATGTCATGTGTGGTTCGCTGTGATTCGACGCGGTGAAATAGTTCGTTTGTTATTTTCTCTATTAGTATAGTGATTTTCATTTTTTTTCATAAATTTGGGATCCCCTGATTTTTAACGTGAAAAAGTCAGTATCAGAATAAAAAAAGTCATATAATATATGAAAATGTTTTATTTATCTGTGCCGGTTCCCTTCTATTCTAGCTGATTGATCTTTGTTCATTGTTGAAGGCCGTACGATGACCTATAGATAAAACTGTCTGTGTCATATGGTCCCTGGAGGAGAGTTGTCTCATTGGCAAACACATCACATACTATTATTTGTATATCATCAAAGATAACAGGTTGTCAATTTTGTACCCAAGATGCGCGTTTCGTTCACAAAAGACTCATCAGTGATGCTCGAGATGGAAGACTCAATAAAGAAAGAAGTTGAAGAGCATTGAGGGCCAACAATTGCGAAAGGTGTTTGCTAAATATAGATCAGATATACGTTTCTTGGGGTAGAAAACCCGCATGATGTCGTACAAACAAAAGTTTTGTATAGAGTTACTTTATAAAAAGGGCAATATCATTGACAATTCATGTCAACACAGTGAGCTGAATACTGGATTGGTGATGTGGATTTCCCACTCTCCCACATTCTCTTTTAAATAAACAAAGATATCACTACAAGGCTTCTTAGAGGGTCAAATACCCGTTTTAAACTTAAATGACTAACATATGAACAATACGATTTATAACCCTATGTCCCAAAATTGTAATAGTGGGAAAACCTCATGTTGATTTTTCAGAAAACGTATTGATTTTCGAGTTTCAGTTAATTTCATGTATCTAGGTGAACAAATATCGAAGTTAAAATACAGAAATTGGACAAATATGCCATTAAAACATATGTATGTGACAAATCAACATGAGCTTGCCCTGCATTACATGTAACAGTATTCGTCCATACCAATTTTAAGCAAATTAAGTCGTCTCGCAGGCCTCCAGATTTTTTGAAAATTTAGTGTTCACCCCAAGAACCGGTTTGGCCACAGCATAACAATTTCAAGTTTATTTACAATTTACACAGTGTGTATATGTTAATTATAGTTAAATGAACATATGTTCTCATAGTTTAGGACTTTACTCATTATAGGTTGAAAAATACAGGCAAAGTTTAGATGTTTATGAAGTGTCCTATATTTTGACTTTAGTGGAACCTTAAAGAGTTTTTATAATAATGAGTTGGTTATCCTCATATGTTAGAATTATAAAAGTTAGAAACTAAATTATCTTTCAATATAGTTCTTCTCTCGGCAAGCAAATAAAAAAGCGATTTGCTTCGTGTCGGTATCTATAACTGTAGAAACATGGAAGACCGATGATGCATCCAGCGGCAAGGATAATCGCATGTCTTCTACAAAAGATTATTCAACGATTGCCACTGTAGACAGAATGATGTTTTAAAGCAGTACGTTTATTCACCGCAAGCCATCCATACCAATATATAACTCTAAAAAATCAGTCAGTAGCTTACTCATATGCCAACCTTGTGAATATTTTTAGCGGTAAAGAAGATATAGACAGACAATAGGGCTTCTCTTGGCAAAAAAAAAATATAGAAATAATTGATCATACTGAAAAAATCAACAACACCACCACCATGTTTGACAATTAGCAGCCCAAAAATAAAGACAGCGAGTCAATTCTGGCACAGTTAAAGAAACATTGATCACAAGTCACTATGTTTTTAGACAAAATTTTATTTTTTGCCAAAATGAACAGCCTCAGCTCAATGCAAGTTAAACAGGTTATCGGATCATAACCTCATAACCGTTTTTAGGCAGAGTCAGTGTAAAACAAACGTTTATCAATCAATCGATTTAATTACAAACAAATAAACTATCCAGTCTTAATTAAATGCGAAGCAATGATTCACAAGAGATTTTGTTTCACAAGGCTAACATTGAGTAGAACATAGGAATCTGTTGTTCAGTAGTTGTCGTTTGTTGATGTTGTTCATAAGTGTTTCTCGTTTCTCGTTTTTTATATAGATTAGACCGTTGGTTTTCCCGTTTGAATGGTTTTACACTAGTTATTTTGGGGGCCCTTTATAGCTTGCTGTTTGTAATGAGCCAAGGCTCCGTGTTGAAGACCGTACTTTGACCTATAAAGGTTTACTTTTATAAATTTTGACTTGGATGGAGAGTTGTCTCATTAGCACTCATACCACATCTTCTTATAACTATAAATCATTAGTTTTCACATTCATGCGTTGTACGGTTATCATATATAAGACATGTACTTCGTTTTTGTGAAGAATGATATTAATTTAATGTGCAATTGTAAACTTAAAAAATATACATGTCATGGTATATTTCTCATGGAAGATTTGTAGTTATAATCAATCATCAATAAACATCAAAAACCAAAACTGACTTCCACCATTCATTGACAATATATAATTTAGTATAGTTTTTGTTGAAGCATACGGCAACTGGTTCCTTGATTCCATGCTGAGAATGAAGTGGTATATCTAACACTTTCCCATCCTGTGTCAGTCTGTGTATGTTGTTTGAACCTTGTCCACTGACATAGAGGTGTCCATTATCATCAGAGCATATGTCAGTGGGTGTGTCAATGGTTGCGATGCTAGAAATATTTTCAAAAACAGAATCCCAATATGACGTTCCCTGTTTTCTGACCATTATATCATTTTGGCCACCAATACAAGAAAAGTAAGTTTGACCATCAATTGTATGAGTCTTCACAACACCAGAACCAATATTAATTTGTTGACCTGCTGTGTATGCTGTCTCTCCTATGCTACTGAAATATTTTAAATAAAACCATACAGAAAAAGCCACTATATACAGCACACGAATGGTGAAACAGGGAACAAGAACACTAAATGTCATAAAATAAAGGTTACAAGTTCAGCAGTTTGTTTTCATAGGTAAGGATACTGATTAAAGGTTATTTCGTATTTTTATACATGAGATAATGGCACTTGAAGCTTTTTTTTTTACTGAAATAAATACTTGTTTGCTACAACCTGAGGTATAGAAATAGAACAAAAAAACTTTCATTCAAAAACAAAAGATCTTTCGGTACTCATGATACACAAAGATTCAAATTTTTTGACAAAGCTCTTAACAATCAACCTATATCTATTTTCCACATCTAATTTTCACCTTTGCTTCCGATTAAGTTATAGTCTTACTGTGAATATTACGATTTATAAAAGGCGAGTCTATGGAAGCTAACACAAAATTAAAGGAAAATACCTACACAAAAAGTTAATCCGTTAAAGTTATTAATCAGATCAGTTTTTTTCTGTGAAAGAATATTCATTAGGTTACTTAGGAAGTCTATGAAAAAAAACATTGAAAACGTGTATTATCTCAGTTTTTGTTGTTGAAGTATTTTTTTGCCTCTAGATTTCCGATGCTGTATACAAGAATATGTCAGGATAAAAAAGTATTGATATGATCCTATAACTTTATATATGTATAATGACTTTAATAAAAACTATTACTACTTTATAACATATATAATAAGTAATCTTATCAGAGAAAATAAAACTAATTAGTTATACAGTCCAGAAGTTAATGGACAATGTTAGTTTTAGATCTTACCAGTAAAAACAATTACTTAGTAAGTATCCAATTTAAGATGTCGTCATGACTTCAAATTGTATATAAATCTATCTCTAGGCATGTTTCTTCCGACGTGCTGCATATAAAAGAGTTAATGTAGAAATCCCAAAATTTATGAAATCATAAGCAATATTGCACCAATTGTATAACTTTGTGCAACACTGTCCCTTCGACGAAACATTTCTCGTTCTTAATGTGCATCATACATAAATATAATATTGACACTTTTAAATTTTCATTATATGATAAGTGTATTTAGTTAAGTTTAAAATAATATTCTTCATACTTTTAATATATTGAATATTGTCATCTTCAGAATAAAATGAATATACAAACTTATTTCATTACTTTTCAATATCACTAACAGTCATATCAACTCACTCAACTATCTTTGGTTTCGGTTTTGGTTTTGGTTTCGGTTTCGGTTTATCATGTTTATAGTGAAGATATCTAATAGAATAGAAGTGTTTTAGGTCTTCAAACGTTTATTATATTTGATTTTCAAGAGGTGTGCTGTGCGGTTGACGAATGATGTAATGATTAACGTTACTTGGGTACGTAAAAGCTGTCGACAAATTAGAGTATGGAAAGACAATAATTTGATAGCAGAATATTGTTGAAGATTTGGTTGAAATAAAAGATTACCTATTAAAAGAAAATCTATGTATACGTATTAATAGCAAAACTTCACCGTTCAAATATATAAATATCATGTGACTTAAATGTAAAATCAAACTGCTAACTGATTATAAACTCTGGTTACCCAACATTGTAGCCAGTAGTTTTTTTCTAATTTTGACACGTCCTCTGTCGTTTTGCAGTACCTTAACAAATATGTCCCTGTAACTGAATTGAACATAAAGAAATTCTATACACACCTGAAGTATTATTTAGTCAAGGAAAAATAATCTTCATGAGATTGATTGTTTGTTGCTTAACGTCAAGTGGCAAATATTTCATGCATGTTCATGACGAGTCTTGTTAATGTACATATCGACTTACCTCAAGCTTGTAAAATTTTGAATGTAAGAATGACCATTAATATTTACGACAAGATGGCATACATCCCCAAACGCAGATGCACATATCACGGTAGTGTTTAACTTGTTGCATGTGTTTTTCGATAGAACAACCATCCTGACCTGACCTAGTCCTTATTATGCCCGGAGGCACATAGGGCAAGGACTAGATCTTTCCACTCATCTCTGTTCTGTGCTTTCTTTTCTATTTCGCCCCAGCTGATTCCATGTTTTCATTTCAGCTTCAACTGTTCTTCTCCAAGTTGTTTTGGGGCGTCCTTTCTTTCTTTTCCCCTCAGGTGTCCATCTTAGGGCAACTCTGGTCAAGTCCTCTGCTGGTCTTCTAAGAACATGGCCAATCCATCTCCATCTTTTTTGCGTCAATAAGGTCTCCATGCTGTTGGATCCTGTTGTTTCAGGGAGGTCTTTGTTGGTGATCTTACGAGGCCTGAATATCCTTAAGATCTTTCTAAGGCAACTGTTGTGAAAACTGGAGAGCTTGTTGATGTCTTTTTCTGTCATTCTCCAGCATTCAGCCCCATATAGCAGCACTGCTAGTACACAACTGTTATATAGTCTAATTTTGGTGTTCTTACTGATGTTGCTTGACTTCCAGATGTGACTTAGTTTTAAAAATGCAGTTCTTGCTTTTCCTATTCTGGCTCTGATGTCTTTGTCTGCTCCTCCTTCAGATGTTACTATGCTGCCCAAGTAGGTGAAAGATGAAGTGCAATCCAGGTGTGTCCCGTTTAAATCTATTACAGGAGGCTCTGAGATGTTAAGAGGCATGACTTCTGATTTCTTGATGTTGATATGCAATCCAATCATACTTGCATTCTTTTGTAACTTAGTGGTTTTGTCTTGCATGTGTGTTTCTAGATGTGACAGTAAGGCCAGATCATCTGCATAGTCCAGATCTTCTAGGTAGTTAAAGAGAGTCCAACAACAACCATCCTATCTGGATCTATTTGTAATACAGATCTGGTATTAGGTTGAGTGATATATCCTTTATTTTGACTTGTAATAGCAACATCGTATGGCTCACTGTCTACATTCAGCTTGGTTAGATAATTTCCAATATTGTCAACTAAAATTAGATTCTTGTTGTTATGGTCACATAATACAATGTTGCCCTTTGAAGAAGCTGCTATTCCAGTAATTCTGCCGAAGTCATGATTGAATGAACGACTATAAGAAAACCCATGTCTAACGTCTCCTGGTACTGCCAACACCTGTGCCATCTCTAGAATATTATCAAGAAAGAATTATTATGCGTGTTAGCTCTGTCAATGATATATTATGTCCCAGGTTATCTTATTATTATAAAAAATGCAATACTTTTAAAAATAATTAAAAACAAAGGGTTGAGAGCAATTTACGGTCCTGAAAAAATGACTTGTTATTCAGGTTTGGATGAGCTTAACAAAAATACCTTCAACAAGAAGCATACAATGAGTTCAAATCTTGCAGTTCATTTTTAACAAAAAATCTAGGGAAAACGATGGCCATTGTTCCCTTTGATGTCAGTATTATTGTTCCAGAATAATTGAACTTAACATCTATTCCTCGCTATAGAATAAAAGTAAATCTATGTCATTTCGATTGACTAATCATAAAAAAATATTTTTGTTTAAATAAGTATCTAATCATTGCGTATCATGTTACTTTAAAGCGACAGTGGTTTACGATGATAAAATGTCGTAAATCCTTTAAGAAGAGACAGATCTAGTTGCCAAAAAACTGATGGAATCACATAAACTAAACTAAACTAAACTAAACTAAACTAAACTAAACTAAACTTAACTAAAACTAAACTAAACTTAACTAAAACTAAACTAAAACTAAAACTAAAACTAAACTAAACTAAACTAAACTAAACTAAACTAAACTAAACTACACTAAACTAAATATGATGTCCCGCTGTATGCATCAAAATAATGCCACAAACATTTGATTTAAAAAACAATAATCAACTCCGTATGCGTAATTTCACCAAAACATTCTGTCATTTATGGAAAATTTAATGTACAATCTCGTGATCATACATATGATTATGAACACCTTTCATATACAAACAAAGTAGGCATAATATAAAAGTTATATATTTGAAAATTGTAAAGTTAACGAAATTAACCGTATCCATGTATCATGCAAGCCTATTATTACTAAAAAAATATAAAGTTAAACAACCTGTCATTTGCGAAAAATTTGAATAAAATCATAATACTGATTATATAAACACCATAACTATATCTATTAACACCGTATATGATACAAAATGTCTAGCTTGCATCCTTTAGGCGTAAGCCGGTGAAACCATATACCATTATTTGTCTGTTTGTCTTTTTATTTTTGGCCATGGCGTTTTCAGTTTGTTTTCGATCTATGAGTTTGACTGTCCCTCTGGTATCTTTCGTCCCTCTTTTATTGAACAGACGAATGGACAGGATAATAATACAATGTGTCCCCGGCAATTTGCTGTGGCAAATCCAAAGATAAATAACTATTAGACTTAGCTGATGAACAATGTTCTAGAGATAAAACTATCATAATCTGTTTGTGAGTAGAACTGTCAGAATCATACACCCAAGCCCTAACCCTCACCCAGTAATCATCTATACCATTTGATTCTTTTTATTTAGAATATGACTTACAGAAAACGCTATTTTTGTAAAAGATGCATAAAAATAAAAAACTAACTCTCAAATGTTTGATAAAGTTTGTTATTTCATTAAACATTCATGAAGATTATAACATTCCAAGTCATAATTTTTTTCATTTTTTTTTTTTTTTTTTTTTTTTTTTGTAATGTTTGTTTTCTTCTGTTGTACCAATGTGTGACTTTTCTATTACTAAAGCTTTATTATTTACAATGTATATGTTTGCTGTCATTCTACATATGCATTGTGTGCAAGGAGAGGACTAAATAAAGGTAGTCATACACGTAATTTGTGTCCACACATATTGCTTGATTATTGCAATAAAATATACTGAAATTAACAGGAAAAATCCAGCTTACAGTCCCTGTTCTAAATTACGATTAGAGAGCTGATTGGTGTCAATTAGAACTGCTGTACAATGTAAGTAAACCATAGGGTTTTCCCCTTCCTATTTCATCCAACTTTATAAGTTCCTTTCCAATAAAGCACAGGAAACTCAAAATACCGCCAATAAAATAACTGAAGACAAAAGAACGGACACACCGATGAAGATATGTCAATATGTTTCCGTAATTTTTTTGCAGTCACCTTATATTTTCAGGATCATGCTAAGTTACAGGATTGCAATTTAAGATTGTAAAGACATACGTATAACAAACAGTAAACTAGTATATTCACTGAGGGGTAAAAATCACGAAGTGCAATAAAATGCAAACATGCATTCTTGGTTAAATTCTGTTTATTTTCATTGAAACCTAAAGCATTCAACTGTAATTCAATTGTGTCAATTGACATATTTCAACATATTTACGTATGATTATATATTACTTCCCTTGAATCGATTATTTCTTATCTCAAAGTGTTTAAGCAAATCAACCTGTTGCGACCACACTGTATCTGTTTATAAAAATATGTCCCATAATCATATTTTCAAATCTTATTGTGTAGAATTTTGTTGGCCGTTGTTTCTTTCTTCCTCGTTCACTTTTGGCCTTGGTGTTATGATACAACACAGGATATGGGGTATCCGTCCATGACACAAAATCAGTACATGCACGGCAAAACACAGACACAAACGCAAAGGATCAGTTCGTGAATTGCTGTTCTTCATCTCAAACACAAAGTGAGGCTTAAACAACTTTCACTTCACTACAAGTTTGTCCGTTTTTTATCGACGTATGGTTATTGATTGCCTACATGGTATTGCCTCCCCCTTTTCAAACAATGCTAAAGGATAAATTTCAGTACCTTCAGAACTTATGATACGCTCTACACTAATTTGCATGCAATTTTCAAAGATTATATAAATTGGAAATACTGGTTAATATAGAAAAAAACAACAAGAAAATAACAGTTTTAGTAAAATGCATCACTTACCTAATCTGTCGTATAACGATCTGATCATAAACCTTACTTCCTTGTTATCTCAACAAAATCAATATTTATGGAGGCTTTTAAGTGACATAACTAATTCTCCCAAAATATTTGGGCTGTTAATAAAGGCCACTGCAATGCAAGAAATGCATCTTAATAATAATAATAATAATAATAATAATAATAATAATAATAAGAAGAAGAAGAAGAAGAAGAAGAAGAAATGCATCTTTCTACGATGTTAATGATGATGATGATGATGATGATGATGATGATGATGATAATACAATAAGATTCACATAATAACACATAAAACAGTTAAAATATCTTAAACGGAGTCGATGGATACCAAATGTATACACGCTATCTAATTATCTAAGTAAATGAGACAATAAACAGTGAAGACAATATATTAAGCTAGATATTTTGACAGCAAATAAATTAATACTAAACATAGACCAAAAACAATCTGATTATCCGACCTGTCCTTTAAAATAAAAGAAATGATAATGGTAAATCACGCCTAAACTATCATTTATAATTTTTCAAAAGTTTTGGTTTTCCTGTTCGAATCGAAATAATTGAAAGGCCAAATAAAGTAAAAGTATAACTTGCTGTACGGTGTGAGCCAAGGCTCCGTGTTGAATGCCGTACTGTGACCTATAATTGTTTACTTTAACTTCATTGTGACTTGGATGGAGAGTTGTCTCGTTGGCACTCATACAACATCTGTTTTTGCAAGAAATACAGAACACCTTGAAGTAAATAGTTATATAGTACTTGGCAGAAATTATTCTTGTTTTGTTAATTAGAAAAACGTTTAAATAATATTCAAAATACATCGAATAAGATGTTTTTGAAATGCTGGAAATTTTTATTGACAACATATTGGTGAATGTGTATTTCAGCAGATTTCGGAACTTAATATTGATATCTATCAATGGCGAAACTGTTGTTATGATATCTTCAATAGATCCGAGGGGATGTAATATCACGCAAAATTTGAAGAAAAAAGGAGCAAACAGACGAAATACAATGCATGGGAAAGTCATCATCATTCAAAAATATTAGAAGCATTTGCGTTTGTCCCGTTTAACTTTAT